GAACCCGTGGCCTTGGTGTTATCAGCATCGCACTCTCCCGAGTGAGCCATGGGCCGGCCCCCAAGCACACATTTCTAAGCACTGACCTAGGGGCACAGGGGACCTGGTTTCAGGTTCCCTGAGACCTCCTAGGAGAATCTACCCAGAATTGTTCTACGTCATTGGTTTCTCTTATTTCTCAACCTAGACACCTGGGAAGTCTGTAATTGAGGGAGCTAGTGCTAAACAGAGCAATGTACCATGAAGTAAGAGGTGTGGGTTCTAGTGGATTACCGTCACTTAACAAACGACAGAAACGTGGGCACATCTCTAGATCTGGTCTGATCTGGAAAGTAGAGGAAATATTACTTCACAGGCTGGGGACTAGACCATCTCTAATTCTGAATTTCCCAACAAGTTGTGGGTCATCCTCATTGTAGGGGTAGAAAGGAGTTGTGGATGCAGGACAGAGCATGTCCTTTCTGCCTCTGGCTGAGGTTTCTTGGCAAAGTCTGGAATGGTAATGACTACATCAGGAGAAATGTCCCAGGAGCCTCCTCCCTGTGAGGTCAAACTTCCTTGGAGGACAGCAAGGTTTGTGCCCTGGGTCCCATGTGTAGTCTGTAGGATTTGTTCTGCTCAGCAGGAGAGAGGGCATAATAGTGCCCAGCCCCTGGACCCTGCCCACATCACTTGGTTTTGTCTGGCTCTTTCAGAGTAAAAGAAAGCAAGGTATATCAATGTGCAGAGGCAGAAAGCAAGGTTCACAGAGGTGGCTATTTACTCCGGCTGCCGCAGCTTGCAGAGGCACCACCAGGGTTGGAACCCAGGTAGCCTGGCCTCCAGAACTGAGGGCATAACGGAAGCTGTGTTCCCACAGGTGCGTTTGCAGTGGGCATCTCTGTGCTGTGCTGGGCTGTGGGGTAGAGGTATATATGTGGAGTGAGGATCGTGGAGGGCTTGAGACATGTGACAAGTACACTGCATGTGTGCGTGGTTAGCTATGCATTATGGGGTACGTGTATGACCATGCATGTGCGTGCCCGCATCTGGCCCCTCCTCCGCAGGTGGCATGGCTGGGGGCCCCTCTCCCCACTAAGAGGATTCTGCAGACAAGCCAAACCACAGCTCCAGCTAAACCACAGCTTGGGCTGCGGGGGTTTGATCTTTCCTCTGCTGCCGGAGATGAGAGAAGTCTAAGTGGCAGAGATTTACAGGGCCTGGGGGAGAAATACCCTTCCAGTGAGAAGCTCACATGAAAAGCTCCAGAGTAATAACTGAGGCTGCAAAGCATGCCAATTATGCAACAATTAAAAGGTTTGACTATCATTTCTTTCTCCTTTTATTCTGCCAGCCACTCCCTGCCCCCTATATCTGGCTGCCCCTGCAGACTCCCCCCAAAATGCTCTAGGGAACAGAAGATAAAGAACACACTTTTCTCATTTTTAATTGGAGATTGAAGTTGGAAGAAGGACTTATCCCTCGAGCGTGGAGAAGAAAGGGGTGTTGTTGAGACTGAGGCCCTCAGAGAAGGGGATGGAGAAGGTGAAAGGAGAGAAGGGCAGGTTCCTGTGCAGCTCACCAGGCTCTGTAAGAACTTTACACACACCTTCTCACTCACTCCACATGTCGGCCCTGGAAGATCAGTATTACAGTGGCCTTGTGCTGCTGGTTAGAAAACCAAGACTCACAGAGGCAAACGACTTAACCCAAGGTCACACAGCTGGCATTGTACCCCAGGCTGTGTGATGCCAAGGTCTTTGTCACCAGGCTGTTCTGCCTCCACATTGTAAAGTGGGGCAACTTTTTCTCACCTCTTAGCCTTGGCTTTCCCATCTGTGGAGTGGGGGCAAGCCCTGGGCTTTGTGTGCTGGAGCCAAGCACTCCTGTAGATGAAAGCTACAATGGGCACTTAGCAGCGGGATTGCTCTGTAATTCAGCCAGCACTGGCTAAGCCAAATGCCCTGTGCAGCAATCCAGTGGCTAATTGAGAAAGAATTAGGCAGCATGCCCCAAAAGTGAAGAAACAGCTGCTAGTTGGCTTTTTAGAGGTGCCAACCCACACCCAGTATATATGCCCCTCCCCACCTGATTTCCCAGCAGAGCTAACAGCACCCACACTCCAGGCTGATGGCATTGGACTCCCTCCTGTCCTGCTGGTTCATGACAACCCCAAACACCACCCTCAAAGCTCTTGTGTCTCTGGAGGGAGGGTGGCTGTGGGGGCATGGACTTTTCCAGAGTAATGACCATCTCTTACATCCAGGATCCAAACACGTAGCACACGGAAGGCTCACATAATTCATGTTCAACCCATATGACAGAGGATGGCAGGGCAATACCCTAGGGACTTTCATGTATGTTTTCTTGTTAACACACCCTAGATTGGCTCTGTCCCTAACTGAGGGAGTAACTCTGGGCAGGCCATGCCACCTCCCTGGACATCAATTTCCTCGTAGGTTGACTGAGTGGGCCATACTGTCCAGCTGTCTGTGAGAGGGAGGGAGCACATAGCCCAAGTCACGCATAGTGGCAGGGAGAGGTTCCAACTTTCCTGACTCCAGACTGGGGCATGTCCCCCTGCACCCCACTCCTCGGCACCCGATCAGCTGAAGGGTGAGGACTGTGGGAGAACCAGGCGTGGCTCTGCCATTTCTCCTGCTTCGGGCTGAGCTCAAGAGAGCAGCCATGATCCTGGGTATCCCTTCCACAGGAAAGAGGAGTGGAGCTCTGGTCTCAGCCTCCCCGTTCCCTTCCCCTGCACAACCACAAATGCTGACAGGCGAGGCTTCCTGGGCTAGACTTTGCCAAGTGGTTTTCCCCAACACGTTGCTCCCCAGGTCATGGCTTGTCTCCCAGCATTTTCTCTTCTGCTGCTTTGGATTCTTGAGAATCCCTCACCTCAGGAGCAATGCTCTGGGGTACGTGGGGGTGGGTTGGAGAATGGGGGGTTGGTTATGAGTGAAGGGGGAGGTGCAGTGGGGGGGGCAAGAGGAACTGTGACCATCCCCTGACACCACGAGGCCTTCCCCAAGCTCAGTGGCTCACATTTGGTGACCTGTGGAGTGTCGTCTCTCCCTGGCGCCCCCCTCCCAGGCCTGCACCAGGTGGCTGTGGCAGCCAGCTCCCCATGGGAGCTGAGGGACCCCAGCTGGCACAGCTGGCCACATCCAGCCCAGCCAGTTGTTTGCTCAAGTGGGGCCCACTCAGCCCACTCTGAGGGGGCTGGCGGGACTCCAGAGGAAATGATGGGAGGGTTTGGGTGCATTCTGACCTTAACTGAATTCCAGGATGATGATGTGTGAATAATATGGCTTTTTAAGAGTCAACAGCTTGGGTGCTTTTTACAGGCAGGCTGGAGTGCTGAATGGGCCATCTCTCCATTAATCATTCAGCTAGATAGATCAATTGGCAAACAGTCCCAGCATTACTCCGCAGTATTACTCTCCCTCTGTCAGCAGCCACCCTTAAACAGATGTCAAAACTGCCGTCAAGTCAGCCCCAACCCCACCCCCAAGCCTTCTATTCCCCAGGCTTAGTAGCCTAATTCCTCCAGCTTCTCCTTGCAGTTCCTATTTCTGTCCAAATTTTTCTTTTTTTCTTTCTTTTTTTTTTTTTTGGTGGTCTCCGCTGGCACTGATCCTAGGTTCCCACTCTCTGGGTCATTCTGAACTCCCAGAGGGCACATTCTGCCCACCTGAAGGAGAAAGGAATTCATTCTGAGTGACATTTCAGAGAAAGTGCCAGGGAGGCTCATGTGGGTGAGCAAGCCTGGGGCCAGATCCCAGCATCCCAGTCCTGCTGGCCCTCCCCTCTGTTCACTCTCCCCAGTCCAGGACTCTAGGTCTTTATCACCAGGCAGGACAGAGATTGACCAGGACTCCAACACTCACAGTGTCTCCAGATTGTGCAGCCCCTCGAAGCTGTGGGTCCCCAGGTGCTGGATGCGGTTGTTGTGCAGATGCCTGTGTGGGAAGGGAAGACACATCAGAATGGCTGCTCATCCCACTGGGGCACAGGGGATGGGAGAGCATGCCATGGTATGAGTAGGAAAGTAGAGGCAGAAGCACGGACAGAATGACCCCAGTGGTTCAACCCTTTGTCTCCAGGGACAAATTGATTGTCTAAGACCAACTTCTGAAGCCACAATCACCAAGGCTGGATTGACCACAGGCTTCACTGTTTTGACTTCCTATTGAAGGAAAAAGAGAAAGGAGAGGCCCAGGCTAAGGCTAAAGCAAGCTCCCACTGAGCTCTCGGAGAGAGGCCTATTGTCAGAGGGGCTCAAGTCTGAGACTTCTTCTATGACCCTGCTCCCCAGGACCCGGCCTGCCTGACTCAGTGACCAGAAGTAATTATGGGAGCCAACAGCAAACCGCTGCAGACAACATATAATCAAAGGCTAAGTTTTCTGTTACAACCGGAGAGAGCTGTAGACAAGCTGAGAGATGCGTGAGGCCAGAGGAAGGGAGGAAGGCTCTGTAGAGGAGGTGATCCTGAGCAAGGACCTGAAGGACAGGTGAACTGAACAGGCAGAGGAAAGGGCGTTCCAGGCAGTGCGCGCCCAGAGGTGATGCAACTGGGACAGATGGACAGAGCTATCCAAGCACAGTCCAGAAAAAATAAATCTCATGGCAATTATGAAACCATACAACAGAAGAACTGAGGGAGAGATGCAAAAGACAGGCAGAATTCTAAGCCTGGAAAAAAATACCACTAATGCATGAGGAACAAAAGGAAATTTATCACAATAGCCTTCTGCTCCAAAACAATCCAATAAAACAATATTTCAAAGACAAAATTCTAAAAATGAAGGAAAAAACGACATTGTGGGCAGAGGAAACAATTGAGGACCGTCACCACATCATTAAAAAACTAGTCAATAAATCTGAAACAGAACAGTGTGGACACTGCTGAAAACTGAGTTGGTGTCAGAGAGAAAGTTTGAAATAATCGTGGTGTGAGTATGGTTGAACGAGATGAAAAGGCTAAAACAGAAACTGATGCTGGAGACATAAAGGTGATTCAGCACAAGGACAATTGATGTCTCTGAAGGAGAGGATCCAAAAATGAGACTGAAGATGTATTCAAAGACATAATACGAGAAATTCTCCAAGGTGAAGAAAGAGCAGAATCTGTGGCTCAAAAGCACACATCGTTCCAGGATACTTGGATGCAGTATATTCTACACTGGGACATATTCTAGTTAAGCTGTTAAAGTTCAATAATTTTAAAACATCTTCAGGCAGAAAAAGGAAATCACTAACAAGGGGAGAACATCAGGCTGGCCTCCAAGATATTGTTCTAATATAAAGGCAACAGACAGACCTTATTCAACATAGCTGTGTGGGGATGGGGGTTTTGCAAGTCTGGAGATTCAAAGCATCCATGCCCACCTGCTCCACGAGGTTGTGGTTGGAGAGAGAGACCCCTACTTCCAGGGAGCTCCTGACCCAATGGGCAAAACACAGTCCCTGCCTTCTGGGGATGAACTCCCCTTACCAAGGGTTTTTATTTTTCCCATTGCCTTCACATCTCTGTCCTAACTGTCACCAAACTCTATCATTCTTCCTGCTTCCTGTGGAACTCCTATCTCCCATCTTCCATTCCCCTCAACCTCCCCCAGCAGCTCTGGTCCAGATCACCTCCGCTCTCTAAACCTCCAGCTCCAGGCTTCCAACTCCTTCCTCTAAACCATTCACTCAACCCTGGTTTTCTAGCACCTGTAGTAGCCCAGGCCAGGGGCAGGTGTTGGGGCTTATAATCCAAATGAAGAGACAAGATCATACACATGACACCACTGCTGTCCACAGTCTACCTAGTGGTCCTGTCAGTGCACAGTAGTGGTGGGGAAAGGCTCCGTGCATGTCAGAGCAGCCTGATGACAGTACAGCGTTTGGGCTGAAGAGAAGCCCTTTCTCCTACACCCTGCTTGTCTGCTCATACCTCCAGCCACGTTGCCGTCCACGCTTGGTTTTAAAGAAACTGCTTTCTTGCTTCCTGTCATACCCGCTCTTCCTGATCTGCCTATGGGCCTTCCTGTGGCTGATCCCATAGTCCCCGGACAACGTTCCCCAGCCTCCTCTCCCCTTCACAGGTCACCCATCTCTGCTGGAAGCCTCCCCCTCCATCCCATGAGCTGGGGGTAAAGGAAAAAGGGGTAATATTTCTGTCCTCACCCCATGCAAGGGGACAAGCTCTCCTCTTTCAGCTTTGCTCCTGAACCAGTAGTCTTTCTTTCCTTAGACCTTTGACCTTTGTTATATCCAGTGAGGCCCCCACCTCGACTCTCAGGCCAGTTCCCTGGCTCCCAACCAAACCTGGGAGTCATCCATGCCTCCGCTTCTTCTTGGTCTTTTGCACTCTGCAAACCTCTAAATCAGATCAATTCTTCCTTCAAAACAACCCTCACAGTCATGTCTTCCCTTCCATCCTTCTGCCTTTTCCCTAAACTGGACTTTGACACCCAAGAGCCCCTGATTGACCTTATTGTAAACAGTCTCCCCCCTTCCTGTCCATCCTTCAAACTAACCTTCCTAAAATACCCACTCTGAACCCTTGCTTGAGAAACTTCAAGCTCCCTTCCCCCATTGGCAGATAAAAGCCAGACTCTTTGTTCTGACACTGGGAGTCCCCAAACTCATCTTTCCAGCCTCTTGTCCCACACGGTGCATGAGGACCCTCTGCTCCAGCTGGACCGGC